GTTGGCCAAACTGTATGTTCGCGAGATTGTGAGGCTTCACGGGGTGCCCGTGAGTATCATCAGTGATAGGGACCCGAAGTTCACATCTCGGTTCTGGGAGGCGCTGCATGGAGCTTTTGGTACGCAGTTGAGATTGAGTACCGCCTATCACCCTCAGACTGATGGACAGACTGAGCGGACTATCCAGACCTTGGAGGACATGTTGCGGGCTTGCACGTTGGAGCAGGGCTCGGCATGGGATAGGTACCTGCCATTGGTAGAGTTTTCTTATAACAACAGTTTTCATGCTAGCCTGGGCATGGCACCCTACGAGGCGCTCTACGGTAGGAGGTGTCGTACACCTACCTATTGGTCGGAGGTTGGGGATCGTGAGTTGTTTGGCTTGGACTTTGTCCAAGATACCACCATGCAGATCCAAATGATTAGGGAAAAGCTGAAGCAGGATAAGAATCGTCAGAAGAGCTACTACGATGTCAAGCATCGACCACTGGAATTCAGTGAGGGTGAGCACGTGTTTGTGAGACTTTCACCTGTCACCGGTGTTGGACGGGCACTCGAAGTGAGGAAGCTGAGCCCGCAGTTTATTGGGCCATACCAGATTCTTGGTAGGGTAGGACCTGTTGCCTACCGGCTTGCCTTGCCTCCGACCCTAGCTAACATCCACGACGTGTTTCACGTGTCTCAGCTTCGGAGGTACATAGCAGATCCTTCGCACGTGGTGCAACCGGATGATGTTGAAGTTCGGGAGAACTTAAAGACTCCCGTAGGACCACTACAGATTCTCGATCGTGGCGAGAAGCAGCTGAGGAGCAAGATCATTCCGATGGTCAAGGTGCAGTGGACCGGAAGGACTCCCGAGGAGTGTACATGGGAGCGTGAGGATGAGCTTCTCCGGCAGTACCCCGAGTTTCGACCAGGTATGTTTCTGATTTTGAGGTCAAAATCCTAAAAAGGTGGGGTGAATGTAAGAACCCGCACCGTTAATTAAGGAATTTAATTAATAAATTATGCAAAATTAGGAAATGATTCCATAATTGACCCTAATAATTATAGTAAGTGGGTAATATTGCTGAAAGTCGCTTTTCGGAAGAAAAGTGCAGATACCAGTTCTGCTAGTCGATGTAAATGAGTACCGAAAAAGTGTCCCGGAAAATTAAAGTAAGTGCATGTTAATTACTAGAATAATATGTAGGACTTGTAAAACGAGTTTCAAGTCCAGATAATGAGAACTGGTGCTAGAAACCGGTACTGGCTTGGAAAAGCGCGTACCAGAAAAGTGCTCAGAAAATTATAAGAAAAATATGATAAATCTTAGAAAATTATGTAGTTTCATAATCCAAAGTTTGGGATTAAAATTCTAAGCGTAGCAATTAAAGTTAATACTGTGTGTTTAATTGTTAAACCACTATATAAGCCTTAGTGGGCACTAAACCCTAGGCCATATTACATTCTCTACGTCAGTGAGTGAGGGTGGCTGATTAGCTTGGCTGCTCCTTGGGGTTTCATCTCCATTTTGGGTCCAAGACACTTCCTTTCTTGATTTTCTTCACACTTTCACTTGGGAGACACTTGGTGAGGGTGAGAGTTAGCTTTGGGACTCCATTGCTGGTCTTTTCTGAGTTGAGAGAGCTGCTGTGTGTGAGGTTTTGAGGCTGACTTGGGTTGCTTGTTTGTGGGAGCCTTTGTTTTGGCATTGTGAAGTCCAAGGAGCTTCCTTTGTGTTGAAAGGTCCAAGCTTGTTGATCCATTTTCGTGCACCTTGTTGAGTCAGTCTTGAGGGGCTAATTATGAGCTCCAAAGAGCAACCTCTTCTTCTGTTTTAAGCCTTTGGTATGTGTACCAACCTTTGATCATGAGTTTAATGCTTAAAAATGAAAGCTTGATACATGTTAAGGCTTAAAGATGATAACTTGTTGTGGGTAATGTTGAACACACCTAGAAATGCATGTTTAGGTGCTTAAAATCATTAAAAAACCCAACCTTGGAAGGATATCTTCATGAAATGCATTTTCTGCATTCTATCGTGAAATATCCGGATATGTGATATCCAGATATGGGTTTTGAGTATCTGGATATGTGATATCCGGATATGGGATTCTGGATATCCGGATATTGCATATCCGGATATGTCCAGTTAGATATCCGGATATTGAATATCCGGATATGGTCCCGAGGAATATCCGGGATTTCGAAGAACCTGTGAGGACAGTAGGCTATTGGGGGTTTGTGGACCCTAGATTGAGGAAGTTGAACTTCTGTTTTAATTAAACTAAGTCAGAATTGTTGTGATTAAGGACTTATGGCTTGGTATGGAGCTTTAAGACGTAAAACGTAAGGAAATGCGTTGTCTTTAAGTTATATGCTTGTGTTGCATTATTATTTATATAGTATTGGTCCATAACAGATTGTGAATCTGCTGTGTTTGGACGTTGAGCTGTGGACTCTTGGTTATTGGATAGCTAGCTTGCGAGGTAAGCTTTCGTGTCCTCGGTTTAGCCATGTTATGGTTCCACCATGTCCCATGGGGGTATGGTTTATGCATGCTGTGGACACGCTTTTGGATATTTGATATGTTGATTGAACTTTACATGTAATGGCTTTTAATATGCATGTGTTGTTTCTTCTTGACGGGAAGCCTGAGTATGTAGCGCCATACAAGACGGTGTACCGGGGTGAATACAAGTGGTACTTGCACGGTGTGTAGATGATAGACGTATACCTGCACTGTCTCTGGCCAGTAGATTAGTATTGACACACATGGCATGATTATCTGCTGCATTGCATTATTTTAGAAATGATAAATGATAAACTGCTTTTGAACTTATATTGCACATGTAAGTGAGCTTGGGGTGGAAGATCCTTGAGGACTCACTGACTTACTGAGATTTCTAGATTAGAGATCTTACCCCACGTTTGGGGAATGCTTATTTCAGGATCAGGTAGTATGGGTATTGATGCCTCAGGCGACAGGAGGCCGGAGCTTAGCTGATTATGTTTTACTGCTTTATGTTAGCATGACTGGATTTGGATGCTGTTTATGTTTTTCGCTATTTATGATATGTTGTTGTTGAGACTGATGTTGGGCATGTTGCCTTATTTGAGTGAGCATGGGGATTGTCCATGACAATTTCCGTTATACTTTTAGATTGGAGTTGTATAAACTGTTAGATGGTCCGGTCTACGTTGTTGTAGCTCCGTGACTAGAGCCACACTTATATTATCTATGTTACGAGGTTTTTCAGTTAGCTGTTTTATTGCAATTACATACCGGCGATGTTTTATTAATTGATTATTAAGCAAGTTGGTAATGTTAAATGGCATCATAATTGAAAAGAAAAAGTAATTCCGCATTTTTAATTAAGCGCAGCTTAATACGATATTATGATAACATTGCCGGATATATACGGGGTGTTACACAATCCACCGTTGGGGCTGATACAATGTAAAAAACAATTTCAGCTCAAAAGTTAAGCTTAGAAGTGAAAATTCATTAATAGGTTTTTATATTATATCTCTCTAAGAATAAATATAAGTAATTAACTATCATATATAGATTATCTATTTCCATGGTATGAATCTCAATAAATACTACATACATAAACCGTGATAGATACTAGATACATGAACTATCAAATACAATGAGCAAACACTAACATCGAAATTTTACACCAAGAAATGCTCAATACTATTGAACTTAGACTCGTAGAAATTAACAAATTATCATTGTTAAAAGTGCTTCCATCTTTGCCTGCATTTGCGCATCTTAAATACTACTTCAAATTTCGTGTTGCAACTCAGCTAGCGAATAACTTTTTCTGAATCTCTATGTCCATCAATGCTCGTGCTTCAGCCATCCTTCTCTGTTACTCTCACCATTTATATAATGTTTAGAGTAAAGTTCTCAACAAATATATTAAGACAAAATTTAATTCCTTATAGAAAAAAAAAAAAATCTAATCGTACTTCTTCTGAAATTCAAAATAGATACATGTTAGTCTTTTTGGTAGACTAACGTAAGTTTTTTTTGAATTTCAAATAAACCACGATTTCACTAACTAAATCTATTTAGAATTTCAGAGAGACCACGAGTCGCATTTTATTTTAAGGGATTAAAATAGACCTCCTCATTTTTATTGATGATCCAAAAAAGTACTTTACTAAGGTTTAACACAAACGCTAAATTGGCTGGCTCACACGCCTTTGACAAAATGGTTTTAGGTACAATTCATGCTTATGAACTTTTATTAACAAGTCATTTACTAGTATTATTCTAATTTATTATTAAGCTTCTGGTATATCGTAATTTTAGAAATAGTGAACCTTTATTTTCCTTAAACTATTTTTACATGAAACCCAAATAAAAAAACACTAACACTGTCATATGCTGCAAGTAGGGGATCCCATGCGCACATGACAAGCCCATGTTAGACAAAAGCATGGGCTGTTCTATTTTTGTTCATTGTGTGTCTTTTCAGAATTCCAATTTGTTGAAATTCAAGAGATACATAGGTGAATCATTGATTCTTGTTCGATGAATAAAATATGAGTAATTATAATATATACAAGTAACCAATGAGTAAAAAGCAAGTTAAATAATTACAAAATCAATCCTGTTTAATAATGGAAACTAATTCTCATATTGATTTCCTGGGACATGCTGATAACAAATATTTCTAATTTTCTACAGATCAACATAAGTTGATTAATCTCCCCCTCAATCACATCACTAATTGCTCTATTTTAGGAAGAAATTAATAATTGGTCAACAATTCCCCTCAAATTGTGTCATAGATATCTTTCATGCTCAATCAATTACAGCATGGAAGGTAATTGTACCACAAAATAAACGCATAAGTGAATAAAATTATTCAATACAATTTCAAGTAGTTGAATTGAATATAAAAAAACATTGGGTTGCATATACTTCACCTCACAACTGGATATGTAAATACATCCTTACAATTCATTTCCCTAATTAAAAGTCTAACAGCCTCAACCTGGAAAAAAGTTTTCTAAACTTTATTTTTAGCAAATAAAAGATTTGGAAAGCATAGACAAAAATACCTCCCAATTATTAGGCAGTCCATAAATGGCTACAATACATGGATAAGAGATTCGGATTCTCCTTTTATGTTTTCCTCTTATTACACAAGCATGTAATGAGAAAAAAAGACACAAAATCAAATTTAATTACCCAACACAAATAAAGATGAGTCCTACTATATTTTTGTGTCTTTCTTTCTTATAATTAACACAAGAAAAAAAAATGAGAGAATCCAAATTGGTGGATAACAACCTCAGGCCAAGTTTAGAACCATTATTATTGTTTCTGGGGAAAGATTTGTTGTGGAAAATAATCGGAGTCAGGTTGTATGTCCTTAAAGTCTTCCACTGCGTGATGGGGAAAATTCCAGTCTCTATCTAAAACAAGCTTCCTAGTCATGAGGGCAGCACGGTTTTCAGCTATCAATTCACGTAATGCTGCACTGCACCTTATGGAGAGATCAGCATGAGAAAGCCATGAATATTCACTCCCATATGACAGAAGAGAGAGAGCACACCCTGTTGATCATGAGTAGGGAAAAACTCCCAACATCAAAATATTGTGTGTCAAGAAAAATGTTATATGTTCAGTATACTTTTATGAAGTTATTTAGATGTCAAATCAATGTGAAAGACTGTGTTCAGTGATATTATTTATCTTATTAGCAAGATGACTATAGTCGAAACCTGTCGAGCATGGATACTTCTGAACTAAATATAGGCTTCCTTCGGGACAAAAACCAAAAAGCTATGTTTTGGGTAAAATGCTTTGATTAAGTTACGCTGACTCCACCAGCGAGATTACCCAATCAGACACGCATTGACTAAGTATCCATGATTGGAAATTTTTTTCCATTTTAACTCATATTTTTTTGTATAATTTCTTTTAAGTCTCAAAAAATTTTCCTTTTAATATGGATGTATCTACATATGTTGCACCAAAGGTTTTCTCCCTATGAGACTGTCTGATTGGGCCACATGGGGAAAAAGCGATGCTACTAATAGAGTCAGCGGGACTTAAACGTGACATTTTGATAACTTCTTATCCAAAATGTGGCGTTTTAGTTTTTGTGCTCTCTTGCTTCTGTGTTTATGTATTTTATTTTATTTTTCAAGGAATGCTATTCAAAAAATTCGTCTAATCATAATTACTCACAACAAGACAAATAGTTACATGTAAATTTAAGTTAATCTTAAACTTTTTCTTCCTATAATCATATGAAGCTACTAGTGCAATTATGCACAGTTGATGGCGGTAATTGAGTACATTTCATACTGTTCATAGTATCGGTTTCACTTCTTCAATAATAAATGAGAATAATATATATATGTATATATATATATATACTGGGGGAAACAAAAAGAATTAGTAGAAAATATTGCAATAGAACAAGAGTTCCAACGAAGCAGTTGATATCATTAATATATTAAGTCACTCAAAAGCTATAAAAGTGTCACTCTAAATGATTATGATAATAGTTGTGATATAAAAGAAATCTATATCAAAGTCAAGCAATTAACCAGAAGATTAATAAGGACAACAATGATGAAACTAAAATGTAAATACTATTGTTAATCATTTCATTCCATATAAATTTTTTTTCCTCCAAATTCTAAAACTAAAATGTTCGAAAGGGTTCATTACTCAAGCAGTTAAGTACTTTTCGCTTACATCAAGCTACTGGTCACTTTTGCATTCTTTCGTTTATTCTGGGTTCCTAACATATATAGAGCTTCCTCCTTGAAAGGATCATTATAGATGTCTAATTATTCCTAACATAATATTAATTTGAGGGACGATAATCGCAAGTGTAGTGTCCCTAATTAATACAAAAACTTAAAGATTCTCTTATGCATTAACATGATAATAATCAATATTTATAGGTGGTCAAATAATAACCAATATAGTTGTTACCTTGTTTAGAATTCCTAGTAACAGAATGATGAGAGCTCTTTCTTCTTCTCTCATTATGGCCAGCCAGTCTTCTCCTACAACTCCTCTTTGAATCATCAAACTCTGTTACCACATGAAACCTAAACCCAATTTCCATATAATCTCAATTAATTAATCACATAACTAATCCTGAAAAGCAACATATATATATAAAGGGTTATGATTAAGTTATATTTATATTTACAAAAAAAAAAAAAGTTATATTTATAAATTTCTTGTTTATAAACTGTTATCAACTATAACATATATTAAGATAATACATATTTAATTATAAAAAATTATAAATATAACTTTTTCTTAAAACAATAGCAGATATAAAAAAATAAATATAATATAACATTTGAAAGTAATATATATCTTCAAAAAAATAAATAATTTAAGCAGAGATAATGATAGAGTCACCTGCTACACTGCTGACAGAATCTCTGCTCCATCCCTAACACTACAGCTTTGGGTGCCTTGGAATGCATATCACAAACTTTGTGCCTTCTGTGATACTCCTTGGCGTTCAACAGTGACACGTGGCACCCCTCCACCTGACATCTTGGCACCATCGCCGCCGCAAACGGTGCAGCTCCACCACTTCCACAGTAGGCTTTGCCTCTCTTATTATTATTATTACCCTCAAAGCCAAAACCATCACTGTAAACGTGTCGCTTTCCCAGATGAGTAGCATTAGCAACATTAGTTTCCTCAAAGTAATGCCCCTTACCTAGGTACAAGCATGTGAGATGTGGGTCTGGGTACACGTGGGACCCACCTCCTCCGTAGAGTGGTAGCTGATGGTGGCGGGTGGCGGCGGCGGAGCTCTCCGCCGCAGTAATGGGCTCCCATGATGAATAGAAAGCAAAACTGTTACTGTTACTATTTCCATTTTGCTCTCTGATATTGTTGTTATGGCAGAACATGTTCTCTCTCTATCTCTCTCTCTTTCTTTTTCTAGTTAGGTGCAAAGCGTGTGCAAGGAGGGTATGAAATAACAAGGGCATCAAATATGGTAGCTAGCTATAGTCATGGCTAGTGGTTTATAGCTATAAGGAGGTGAACGAAAGAGTGATGAGAGAAGGGCATTTCTGAGTGAAGCTTTTTTCTTTTTGCTTTGTTGTTGATGTTGGTATAAAAGAGGAAAGAGGGTGAGAAGAGAATGGATGCAGAAGGTTTTGCAGGTTGCTTTGTTTGTTATGGTCCAAAGGGGTTAAGGTTAAGGCTGCAACGCCACAGAAAGACTTGTTGAATGAGAGAGAGAGAGACACGTGAAAATGAACTGGGTCTTCTCTGGGAGGGCATCTTCCATGCAACTGTTGTGGGTACCCCCATTGAGAATTAAACACCTGTGTTTAAACAGTGTTTTTTTCTTTCTTTCTTTTTGGTAACAAGTGTTTTTTTCTTTTACGTGTTATTGTGTGAGCCTGAGTGTTTAATTTTTATTGGATGAATGTATATATAAAAAAGAAAGTTGATTTTGGATTCATAATAAAAAATATGATTTTTATTTTAATATTTTACAAAAAAAATTAATCATGAGATTTTTAAGAAATTCAAGGTGGATTCATTAATTAAAATCGTCATCTTCACAAATTTAAAAAAGACACGTATTAATTTCTTAAAAGAATTAAATTTGATTCACTTTGAATTTCACATATATTAGATAACTAATTTGTTTTTAAGGAACTAAAATAAAACTAATTTGTTTTTAAGGAACTAAAATAAACATCATATTTTTTTTAGGGAGCCAAAAAAAAATTTACTCTATAAAAAACTAGGTGCAGCGATAGCATTTTTGAAATTTCTCTGGATACCTCATCGAAAGAAAGAAAGAAGGAACACTAATAATTGGAAAAGAATACAAAAGAAAGATAGAGAAAGTGAACGTGACGATAAGACTCGAGCGGATCACAGATGGTTGAGAGCTGTCAGATGGTTGAGAGCTGTGTTTCTGGCTACTTATATTTTTGCAATTTATATCTATCTAATTATCATTAAATTAATATTTTTCCTTTTTAAAATCTTTCAGCATTATTTTTTTATGATCTAATAATAATTAGATAGGTAATAAATTTTTTATAGTAAAAATATCTTCTCATAAATTTATTATCATTGATTTAAATATGTTAATTTTTTTTATTGACATATTGTGATAACTTTGATTAAAGAATTTTATAATAAATTTTTTATAATTTTTTCAGATATTTTTTATTTGACAAAAAAATTCTAAATTTATTATTTTTATAATTTTATATAAACTATTTAATTATTTTAAAACATGATATATTTTTCAAATTAAAGTGTTTTTTTTTTCTAAAAGAACACAAAAACACTAATTCTAATTTTTAAAGCATAATTACTTTTATTTAAAAAACTTGTTCAGTAAAATTTTAGTTATAAGTTATTTTAAATAAATTAAATTAATTCACACGTTGAATATCTATTTATACGCACGTAACTTGCTACAAAGTACAATTTATTAGAGGCAATCCAACGCAAATATCGCTCAATTTAGTAAGGCTGCAAAAAAAAAATCCACGTTGAAGGATACAACCATCACCTACAATAATTATTTCTTCTCAAGTCCGGAATGCAGTACACAATTTGCAATCAAATTGTGAAATCCAACCGCCTCATTTTATTTATAATATCAGGATGAGAATTGTTCCGGATAACACAACGTTGTAGTGGTCCAATAGTCTAAGTCTAAATCGTCTATCTATATCCACGTCAACTCTATCCACCCATCAGCTTCTCTACCCCAAAGGCGACTGCACTCTTTAGGTAAAACACCAAAATGCGTCATCTTGGGATTCCAACTTCCTGACAGATCACCCCAGATATTATAAGTGATAACTACCCCATCGTCATACGTTGACATCGTCAGGCACATCACCAGGCACAGGGGTTGCATCACTGCTATCGTAGCAATGTCAGCCACCCCTAGCTGATCCCAATGATAGTTGACTCCCTCCTCACCAACACACACAAAATCAACATCACCTCCCCCTATAAATATCCCTCTCCACACACAAGGAGAGGCATCTTATGTATCGTTATTCTGCCCATTTACATTGAGTCACAGTTATTCACCTCCTAACCCCCATTATCATCTGTTTTGCAGCATACTTGGAACAGTACCTCCTAGCCTGGTCTTTACCTTTACTAGAGGTATAACTCATATAGTGACTCCATCCCTAAAGAGAACATAGTGGGCTTATTGATCCCAACGGTACATTGGCGCCGTCTGTGAGAAACTATAAACTTTTATTCCCACTCTCTTACCAAAGATCTATAGAAGGCAGATCCTACACCCTGAACGAAATATGGCAGTCACAACAAGAAGAACATGTAACACCCCGTATATATCTGATTTGTTATCATATCATCGTATTAAGCCACACTTAATTTAAAAATGCAGAATATCTTTTTCTTTTCAATTATGACGTCATTATCATTAGCCAAGTTGAATTACTTAATTCAATTCATAAAACATCGCCTGTATATAATTGCAAAAGACAACTAACTGAAATACCTCAATATATATATATATATAGCATAAGTGTGTCTCTAGTCACGGAACTACCACACGTAGACCGGACAACCCAGATAGTTTATACAACTCAAGCTAAAAGTACTAAAATCAATGTGACATGGACAAACCCCATGCTCACCAAATAAGGCAACAAAGCCCACAAAAGAGTCTCAACTCAAATATCAATATAAAGACAGAAAACATAAACAGCATCCAATATCCAGTCATGTCAGCATACAACATATATAATCAGCTAAGCTCCGGCCTTCTGCCGCCAGAGGTCTCAACCCCCGCATTACCTGAACCTGAAATATGTGCCCCAAACGTGGGGTGAGATCTCTAAAAAGAAATCTCAGTAAGACAAAGGATCCTCAAGGATCTTCCACCCCAAGCTCACTTACACGAGCAATATAAGTTCAAAAGCATTTAATAGTATAAGTTCCAAAACTATGCAGTGCAACAGATATTCATGCCATATGTGTTATCATTATTCTACTGGCCAGAGAAATGCAGGACGTACGTCTACAAACCCATAATAAGTACAAGGAACACCGCTTGCAGCCTCACCCTCTTGTATGTATCACATACTCAAGCTTACCGTATATGTGGAACACCACATGCATATCATAAGGCACTCGCATATAACAGCTCAACAGCATTTCACAAATCATTATATCATGAAAACAACATCATGCATATAACCATACCCCCATGGGACATGGTGGAACCAACAATGGCTAAACCGAGGACACGAAAACTTACCTTGCAAGCTAACAATCCAAGCCAAAAGTCCTTCCAATCTCACCGCTCAAACACAGCAGAATCACAATCTGTTTTGGACCAACAATATATCAATATTCATGCTTAACAAGCATAAGACACAAAGACAACGCCTTTCTTTTACGTTTTACGTCTTTAGGCTTCTCACAAAGCCACAAGCCCTTAATCACTTAGATTCTGACTTACATAATCATTGCAGAAGTCCACAGTAGCCAATCATGGGTCCATAAACCCAAAATAGCATTCTGTATGAACAGTACCTTCACTATTCACGAAAATCCAGAATAACCGGATATTTGTCAGGGGCATATCTGGATATCAATATCTGGATATCTCTCTGCCAATATCCAGATATCACTATCCGGATATTCAGATCCCCATATCCGGATATGCATATCCGGATATTTCGCGACAGAATGCAGTTCTGCATTTCGCAAGATATCCTTCCAAAGGTTGGGTTTTTAACCCATTCCAACGTCCAAGCATGCATTTTCAACCTCTTTTAAGTTCATATAATAGCTGGTTACTTGTTTAACTCATTAAACATGCCAAGACACCTCTTTTAACCATTAAAACTCATGATCAAAGGTTGAACAACTTACCCAAGGCTCAAAACAGAGAAGGGAGTGCTCTTGGAGCTCACCAAACAGCTCCAAATTCTCAGACTAAGATGGTGCACGAAAATGCACTGCAAGGTGGGTCCTTTCTTCACAAAGATGACCACTTGGAGCTCCCACAACCAAGACAAGGCTCCAACCACTCAAGCAAGGAACTCAGCCCCAAAACTCTTCCCCAAACAGTACCCTCAACTCAGCAAAACTGAACCTCACCATCACAAGACACCCACTCAAGTGTTTACAAGGTGAAAGAAGAGGAAAAACAAGTTAAAGGTGACAACTTGGTCACAAAATGGTGAAGAGGAGCAAAGGAGTAGAGCAAAAACTGACCAGCCACCAAAACTCACGTAGGATAGTGTTATGGCCTAGGGTTTAGTGCCTCGAATAAGTATATATAGTGGTTTAAGTCATAAACACACAGTATTATCATAATTAGCTACGTTTAGCATTTTAATCTCAAACTCAGGATTCTAAACCTACTCAATTTTACAAGATTTATCATATTTTTATATTATTTTTCACAGCACCCTTCCGATACGCGCTTTTCCATAGCCAGTATCAGTTCTGGCAACAGTTCTCATTATTTTGACTTGAAACTTATTTTACAAGTCCTATATATTATTCTAGTGACATATATACATTTTTTATAATTTTTCGGAATACTTCATCGGTACGCATTTATACCGAGTAGCAGAATCGGTATCTGCACTTTTCGGCAGAAAAGCGGCTTTCAGCATTCTTAATCACTTTCTATATTTCTTTAAGTCTTCTTATAATTATTAAGGTCAATTATGGAATTATTACATAATTCCACACCTTTAATTAATTATTTTCCTTAATTAACGGTGCGGGTTCTTACAGAACACATCAGCCAAGAGCCACCACTCCTGAAGGCCATGTACAAACAGTCTATTCCAGCTCCGAACCATCATACAATCAGCTCTAGCCCAGCAAGCAGCTGTCGAGGCTCTCCCTCCGGTGCTGCAATCCATTGACGCACAGTTGTCGATGGCTAATGCCAGAGTAACACAGTTGGACCGACACGTAGCCATACGTGAGGTTCAAGTAGAGAACTTGGTCCCAACCCAACCCCCACCACCTGGATTCCATTATGGAATGCCATTTCCAATCATAATCCCCCCCCAAACAGTTCTACCCACCATGTATCAACAGCCACCCCAAAGCCAACCTGTGGCTGTGTACAATGACCACCGAGTGCCAGTAGCCACCAGATATCCCCCTGGACCTTACACCCACCACGCCGGTGCCCCTTACCCCATACCTCCCACAGCTGCCGGGTTTCCATTCCATGGTTACGCTGATGGGACGTAAATTTGTTCCCATCTAAGCTTATTTTGATGGCAAAATA